GATATCATATTACTCTTAACAGCTTTCATTAGAGGTGTGCCTTTTTCCAGTGTTAGTTGATACAGTGATGCATGTCCAATAGGATAATTACTGATAATGTAAGTCAAATGATCTATCCATTCCTTCATAGTCTGTCCTGGTAGGCCAAACATTAAATCGATGCTGATTCTACTTCGTTTTCTACCAGTTGGCATCAGCTCGCATGCAGTGCTCAGAACATTTAATGCATCTTGTGATAAATGGTCTCTCTTTATAAGTTGAAGTGTCCCATCATTCAGTGATTGTATACCAAGAGATAGTCTGTTTACTCCAGCATCACGAAACAAGCTTAGTTTGTCCAGCACGCTTGGATGAGGGTTGACTTCAAGAGTCACTTCAACAGTTTCGTCAATCCCAATACAATCCAGTGTCCTCTTTATAGTACCAGGTGGTGCTAAACTAGGGGTACCACCTCCGAAATAAACTGATGTCACTCTTGGGTAGTTGGACGACTCTAGTAACGACTTCAATTCTATTTCAAGACAATCCTCAAATTTCTTCCAATAGTCTTCATTCTCTGTAGGCTGACGGTATTTATTGAAGTTACAGTACGAGCAGAGTTGACTGCAGTATGGCCAGTGAACATAGACCCCATATCCAAAAGGGATTCCTAATGCCTTACCCACATTTGATACAAAGGACATATTGTAATCATTCCATATAGTGCCCAACTCTGTAGTTAACAAATATTTTACTAGTATAATAAAATTAATTTTAAAATTATTTTACAGAGCTAAATTAACCAATACTCAATATATATTCAAGTTTCTTCGTCCTCTTCTTTTTCTTCTTCTTCTGCTGGCTGTTGCTTGCTACCAACGATTGTCGACTTCTGAGGAAATTTCTTCAATTTGGCAACAAAAAACCCATCCATGTTGTGCGTATGAGGATAGAACCTTTTCGTCAGTGACAGCGAAGGATGAAACCTCTTTTCCCGAAAGCGCGTGAAACCAGACACACCGAAATTCAAACCAGTGTCAACAACCTTGACATTACGCCTTGAAAGAGCATAATCAATGACACCTTCATTCTCTTCCACTAGTACAGAACAAGTTGAGTACACCAGATACCCACCAGTCGATGAACTGGCATTCAATGCATCAATTGCTTCGAGTATAAGCTCCTTTTGCATGTGTGAGCAACGCTCAATAGCCACTTCAGACTTACTAGTCTTGACTGATTGGTCCTTTGCTATAACTCCAGTACCACTACAGGGAGCATCTAGCAAGATACGATCAAACCCGCTCATCACTTTAGTGAACTTCCTTCCGTCGTAATTACACACGATGGTATTCTGTACCCCCATGCGGTATATATTAGCAATGAGGCTCTTACAACGCTCCTTCTTGTAGTCGTTGCATACAAGCAGACCTGTGTTCTTCATGAGGGCGGCAATGTAAGTTGCTTTACCACCCGGGGCAGCACACATGTCAAGAATCCTCTCGTTTACTTGTGGAGCTAGTGCCATGACAGGCAGTAGTGAGGAGGCTCCTTGCATCATGTATTTCCCTGATAGATACTCGGGCGTGGCTCCTATAGGTACTTGACTATCGTATATGACCAGTCCCACTTTTGACCAGTCTCCAATTGGGTCAAGATTGACTCCGCGACTGATGAGCGCTCCAGCTAGGTCCCTACGCCTAGTTTTGAGTGTGTTGGTCCGTATGGTAACGGGTCGTGGGGTCTCGCACGCATCGAGGAACTCTAATAACTCAGAGTGAGGGATGAGCTGGATAATCTTGTCTATCAGGTACTCGTTGTAGCCATAGTAGACTTTCAGATCATGCTCCAGGAGGGTCACGTATTCCTTTCGTTTCCGACCTGGCTCACGTAAATCCTTAAAGTTTGCAAGAACATGAAGCACTTCCCTGAGGCGCTGTGACACAGTAGGGAGGTCCTGAGGTTCGTTTGAAATGGACTCAATGTCAGGTAGCTCAAAGACCTCATGACCAGCCATTTGTTGGGTGAATTCTTTCTTTGATTCCTCTTTCTCTTTCTTGAGTTTTTTGTCCCGTTTGCGGCTCTTCTTCTCGATCGGTAGTTCCACTAGCTCTTCATCGTCACTACAGAAATCATCAGCTTCTTCTCCAATGGAGTCATCCTCATCATCAGAGACTGAGGGCTGGGGTATTACTTCCATCTCATCATCATCTAATGAAAGTGAAATTTGTGCAGTTATTAAAAAATAAATACCAAAGAAAAAACAAAACATACTTATTTATATTATGTGGTTAAATCACATAATCAGGGTTTCCCAAGTGCTCAGCTTCTTGTCAGTGAATTTTAAAGTTCTCAACAATCAAGTCAAAAACCGTATACAGGGTCTTTGGCCAAATTTTGTCAAGAATGACAAGGAGAGAGATCTCAATTTTTATAATTTTTTCTGATTCATATACATGTTCTTATGTTGTGTAGGAAGTTTGAGCTGATTCCAATCAGAATCAAATTTTTAATAAAATTTTTTAATTTGCTAAAAATTAGGCCAAAAACTCAGCTAATGAAGCACGATTTTTAGCTCACTTAGCACATTTTGTGGGAAACCCTGCATGTAATGCTAACGTTAATGCCTGTATAGTATACATTCAATACACACCTGCTGATACATAGTGATTACATTATTTTCTTAATAATGTATTTTTGATGCGCTCATAATTATAACTATCAAATTACTACAAACATCAAAACAAGGCTCAATCCCCTCACCACATGGGAATTCATTAGCAGCACAAACAAACCCTGACAACACCACAAGTAAATAGATTAAAATAATAGAGTACAGCAAAAGAAAAATTAATTATCTTAATCCAATAATAATAATTAAAGGGTGTGGCCCAAATTACCTCGACCTTCTTCATGTTCACTTTCACTGGTAGTCTCTCCTGCACTGTCCTTCTTAGACTTTGATTTAGTTTTAGTGACTCGAGTCGAAGCAGCAACAGCTAGATTCAATAGTCTCTTCTTGGTACGCTGTCTTATCCTTCCTCCTAATTTCTTTTTGACTTTGTCTATCTTTTTGTCTTCCCTAAGGGCAGCAGGTATAGTCGGGTCGCCTTGTTTCCTTGCTTTCCTTCCAGGGCCTTTCTTTCCCAACAGTTTAAAATCCTTAACTCTACCCATTTTGATACACGTGTCCTCAAAATTGAGGGTGTGGTTTGAATAGGTTTTCCGTATACTTAGTACTGAGGCAAGGCGATATCCGTAAAATTTCGTATCCTTTAACCACGTGCCCCTACAAAGGCAATGTTACCGGTTCTTAAAAGATCCATTAAGAGTTGCAGGGAGATTTCATCTCTTTTGGGGGCTAAATTTCCTTCTGTAAGTTACCACTAGTAATTTTTAAAAGCTATAACTTAAATTACAGGTGTCTCGCTTCACTACTACAGAGGCAGAGCCTCCTCCTAATGAAGAACTAGAAGCTCCTCCTATTAATGCCCAGCCTATTGTTTTAGAAAAAACCAGTCCTACAGAAGAAGAGCTAAAGAATGAAGGTAATTACTCTCAATTTATCCATGTGTAATGTCTTTTATAGAGCCGTGGATGCAGGAAGAAATTATAGCATATTACAGGAGCAAGAATATTCTGGCTAAAATGATGGGGCGTGATCCCGAAACTTTTAGTCAAGAGGATGTTCAGGTTTATCAATAACGATAACTTGCATTCCATGGTTTTTGTTATTTTGTAACAGAAAGCAATACGTTACTTGTTACCGTCTTCATTGTTTGATAAAAAGGCTAGGCCATTTCTAAAGGTAATTATTATTGATAATTATTCTAAATTTATGGTAATAAAATGTAGCATCCTTCTGAAATATATCCCAAAAGAATAGGTATGTTACTTGATTAAATTTTATTCCTTCTTCCTTTGCTCATCTTTTAATTGTCAAGAATCTTCGTTTGATGCCAATAACAGGCCAATTGAGGCCAGTTTCTACTCTGGTTCTCCCTGCTATGATGCTTTGGTACACGTAAGTATAATAAGTAATTAAGTATCATAGTAGTGGGTTCTTAAAACAATTGTCTCTCTTCCTACCGCCATGTAGAAGATTTATATCGAAGAGAATAAACTTGATAAAAGGAAAGCCAGATCAGGTACAAATATTTGGGAAGTTTTTAATGTTTTGTAGAATCTGTTCCCAGTCAGCCACTCAAGTGGATAGAGAAGGATAAACTACAAAACAAAATAGAAGAAGAACTAACTGATGAACAAGTATAAACATTCATAGGTTACACTATGTAACCACCTCAAATAAAATGAAGTAAATGATAAGTGTTTTTCTTTCATACAGTACCAGGACATAATCAATAAACTCAAGCCATTAGCAGCCCATCCTGATAGCCACTTAATATCTGATTTTCTTGACCAATATTGTAAACCAGTCCTTGACTACAGAGCAAAGGCTAAAAAATATGCTGTGAGTACATGAATGGGATCTTTGAGTAAAGTGGTGAAATTGAATTGATTGGTATAGTCAAGTTGCAATTTGAGTTCTTGTAACTTTCTATACATGTACTAGTTCCTTCTCCTCCTCCTCTGTAGATTAGTAAATGTGGTTATGCTCATGCTATGGGGCATAGGAAGACAGCAGTAGCTGAAGTGTGGCTGAAGAAAGGAACTGGTGAAGTCACAATCAATAACAAACCTTTGCAAAAATACTTTGGTTATATCACTCACAGGCTAGTTATTATTATAGTAGTGATACATGACCATATGTTGTGTAGTGTTTTTGTCGTATTATTTTGCATGCTAATCATGCAGCTCTTTTCTTGCACTGTTTCTCCACAGACAGCAAGCTCTGTATCCACTTGTTCTGACTAAACTATTGGGACAGTTTGATGTTAAAGCTCGTGTTCATGGTGGCGGAGAATCAGGTTAGTTTTTAAAGGATTACTGGAAGGATGACCATTGAATCCATGAAGGAAGAGCTGGTGCTATTAGACTGGGAATCAGTCGGGCCCTCCTGGCATTCCCTGGTGACCATGGAGAGCTATTAGAAGCAGGTTTGTCACCTCCTTTCCCCCTCTTCTCTATAATTTTTTTGTTTTCACTCTACAGAAAATTTGCTAGTTCGTGATCCAAGAAGAGTTGAGCGCAAGAAGCCAGGACAGAAGAAAGCAAGGAAGAAGTTTGCTTGGTATGTGTAGCACTGTATATTGCATCAATTAATGTTGCGTTATTTTGCTATAGGGTGAAGAGGTAGAATGCTTGATATGTTAAACTGTTAGAATGTCTTATTGTGAAGTAAATTAAGTCTGCAACCATCTTTTATTTTACATGTTATGATACTATAGTTAATATATTTAAGATCTTTTGTGGGAAGGACAGCAATTGTTCATAATGTTATAACATCAAAGGATTGTTTTTCTAGTGGCACAGTGTTTGAATATTTTGTCAGCTGTTGAAAACTGCCCTTGAAATTTTCTTGTGTGTTATTCTTGGTCTCTTCTAACCAGTACTTGCAGCCATCTTTCACTTTACCCAACTTTATGAGCAATAGACAGTAATTGTAACTTGATAAAAGGTCATGATCTGTGCATGAGGACAGAGGGAGCATGCATGGTCAAGTATGGAGCAAAAGAGTGGTTAAAAAAGCAACCTACAAATTACACGTAGTATTAACACTTACCTGGTGCCAGACTTATCGAAGTAGTGAGTAAAGAATGGGCATGACTGAAGTTATTCTTGGCAATTGCAAAAACAGCACAATTGTTTAGTAGCATTCTCTGAAATGATGAGAATTTAATAGAATTACCACATAAAGTGACATACTTTTAAATTGATTAGTTTAAGGTTAATCTCTTCACTAATACTACCAGCTCTTTCTTCTTGGAATTGTACCAATGTTTGTAAACAATGCATTGCTATACTTGAAGCATTCTCCATATCTCCTTTAGCAATGTGAAGCAGTGACTGATACCATAGTATTAGTATACGTCCATATTCTTCTGTAGGCTCAGTATGCAACCTGTTATTAGTTACTGGAAATCCACTCAATACATTCTCTGCCTCTTTTACATCTCGAGTCATTAAGTGAGTGTGACATGCTAATAATGTGAGGTCTGTCATTGAAGGGAGAGCCTCTGAGAGGAGCTAGAGACATATAATACTAGATAAAGGGGATCTGCCTTTTACT